AAGTGTCAGTTTGCTGCCTCTCGAGGACCCACAGGAAAGATTATTTAGTGTTATAATTAACTTCTAAGTGTCTGTCGGAGAAGAACTTTGTTTGTATTCAAAACTTCTCGTTAATTATGAGAATTTAATTTCAATTATTGAGATCGCGCTTCAAAAATGAGCAATTAAAACAATGTCTCACTGGCAAAAAAGCATCTTCCCTTTTCGTGATTATGGAAAACGACACCGTGTGTTATCACAGTTATGCAGATGACACACAAATCTACACTTATATCACCAGATGACTGCAATGCAATACAGGGGCACTGTAAATGCATTGGACAAATCAATAACTGGATGTGTCAAAACTTTCTTCAACTTAACAAAGATAAAACAGAAGTAATTGTTTTTGGTAACAAGGATGAACGATTGAAAGTCAGCGCTGAGCTTCATTTGCTGATGTTAAAAAAACACAAACCAAGGTAGAAATCTACGTGTAATTATGGATTTGGAAAAACTTGTGCATGCATTTATCTTCAGTAGACTCGACTATTGTAACAGTGTTTTTACATGTCTTTGTAAAGTCCATCAAAAAGCTGCAGGTGATCCAGAACGCTGCAGCTCGAGTCCTCATGGGACCAGGAAAGTGGATCACATGGCTCCAGTTCTCAGGTCTTTACACCGGCTTCCTGTCAAACAAAGAATTGACTTCAAAGTCCTGCTGTTAGTTTATGAAACACTGAACGGTTTAGGGTACATTTCTGATCTGCTGATGCCTTATGAACCTGGAACCTGGTCTACTTTCTGTTCCAAGAGTCAAAACTAAACATGGAGAAGCAACGTTCTGTTTTTCTGCTCCACACATGCAGCTCTGCTGAGTCCCAAATTGACTGTTTCTGCAATTCGGAATCCTTTAAAGACATTCTGAAATTATACTGCCAATTTGATTCTATCTTTAATCTTTCAACATCTTTTTCGTCCTTTTTGTGACAGATGTGTCATCTGTTTGTAATCCAGAAATCTCATCGCTTTATGTTTGGATGTTTTTAATGGTTTTATGTGAAGCACTTTGAATTGCCCTGTTGTTGAAATGTGCTATACAAATAAAATGTCCTTGCCTCACTGAGGGAATAAATTAGGTGAGAAGTAGTAATTTCCTCATAGACGTCTATGGGAGCAGAGGAGTCGCCCCCTGCTGGTCACTACAGAGAAGTAGAGTCATTTCCTCATAGACGTCTATGGGAGCAGAGGAGTCGCCCCCTGCTGGTCACTACAGAGAAGTAGAGTCATTTCCTCATAGACGTCTATGGCAGCAGAGGAGTCGCCCCCTGCTGGTCACTACAGAGAAGTAGAGTCATTTCCTCATAGACGTCTATGGGAGCAGAGGAGTCGCCCCCTGCTGGTCACTACAGAGAAGTAGAGTCATTTCCTCATAGACGTCTATGGGAGCAGAGGAGTCGCCCCCTGCTGGTCACTACAGAGAAGTAGAGTCATTTCCTCATAGACGTCTATGGGAGCAGAGGAGTCGCCCCCTGCTGGTCACTACAGAGAAGTAGAGTCATTTCCTCATAGACGTCTATGGGAGCAGAGGAGTCGCCCCCCGCTGGTCACTACAGAGAATGCAGCTTTTAGCGAGGAAGCTTCGGCTTCCCTCTTCAGAACCAGAAGTGGCCTCTTGCTTCACACCCTCTGCTTAATCTCAGTGGTATGTCTTTGTGTATTGAAATACTTTAGCGTCAGTGTACTTTAAGGTCCGTAATAAAAAATAAAATGAGCACAAAGATCCTTTGTGTGCATCCAACGCCGCAGCGAGGCTCTGACCTTCTCCGGCTGACCGCTGTGGGAGTGGAGGAATGACGGCAGGTCGGTCCAACCTGCAGAACAACACGAGCTCCATGTGGCAGAAAAGCCCGTTAAAATGGTAACAAAAAATAGCCTAGTGCTATCGTGCTTTGAGGCTGTGAAGAGTCAACATTTCAGTTATATCGGCGCCCCCCCCCCCCCTGGTGAAATGTCTCTCTGCGTGAACGTCAAAAAGGCCACCGGCCGAGACTCACCGCTTCACTGTGAGCGCGTGCACGTGTCCTCCAGCTGTGTCCACATTACTCACAACCGGTGTTTTCATGTCGCCAACGTTAATCTGAGGATGCCTCTGATCAGCGGGAACACCTGACGCTTCGCTTCCGTCTCTCGTGGCTTCTGAATCCCGTCGTTCTGTTTTTTTGGGGAAATTGAAATGTAAAAAAGCCGTCATCCCCTGCTCTCTATTCACTTACTGAACATCATGTTCATGTAGAGATTGAGACCATAAACTCATGTTAGCAATGTTCACTGAATAATAATAATAATAAATCAAGAGCGTAGTCGTTTTCTCTTTTTGACTTCTATGGGAGCAGAGGAGTCGCCCCCTGCTGGTCACTACAGAGAAGTAGAGTCATTTCCTCATAGACGTCTATGGGAGCAGAGGAGTCGCCCCCTGCTGGTCACTACAGAGAAGTAGAGTCATTTCCTCATAGACGTCTATGGGAGCAGAGGAGTCGCCCCCTGCTGGTCACTACAGAGAAGTAGAGTCATTTCCTCATAGACGTCTATGGGAGCAGAGGAGTCGCCCCCTGCTGGTCACTACAGAGAAGTAGAGTCATTTCCTCATAGACGTCTATGGGAGCAGAGGAGTCGCCCCCTGCTGGTCACTGCAGAGAAGTAGAGTCATTTCCTCATAGACGTCTATGGGAGCAGAGGAGTCGCCCCCTGCTGGTCACTGCAGAGAATGCACGTTGGAAACTGGTCACTGGAGGATTGTTTGACTCGTTTGAATTGAATTGCTTCAGAAGTCTTTTTGAGAAGTTTTCAGGGACATTTTGACAGATTTGAACTTTAGCGTGCGTCCCTGTGGGATAATTAAATAAAACTTTCACAGCCACCGCTCAGGACTACAGGAAAGCCGCGATCGATACTGTGACGGAGACAAGTTGTGTAATTCAGACTTCAGCTTCCACATTTCAGCTGATGTTGTTCTCACACGATACTTACAAACCACTTTTATATAATCATAGCCACAAGATTATTTCCCACTACGGTACTAGTATTTCTTTGCAGCATTTTCTCAATTTCCTCAATTGTCATGTGATAATAAGTGCCGCTCTGGATGCGCGCTGCGGTCCGCTGTGTATCAACACTCATAAAAGCACCGGAGATGACGGTTAATGACGAGTGTTGAAAGTGCGCATGGGAGCGTCTCTGAATTGGGTCTTCAGCACCAGCAGGTTCTCACCTCCCTCAGAGAGGGTTCAGCATCTGGCCTCGTACCAGATGTTCTGCTCTCACATCAGAGAGACGCGGTTGTGTTTTCCCTCTGCCTGCAGTCACACATGGTGACAAACATTTGCTGCTGGTGAATAATTCCTGTGTGGCACTAAATCGGAATTGTTAACGATTCATCTTGTGGAACCATGAAGTTAAAATCTATGATTTCTATAGTTCACTGATAATAAACCGATTTTTAGCGGTAGCGCCTTTTTTGTTATATATTTTTACATTTTTTTTACCCCATACAGCTGCAATTAAACCTATTCCTGATCCAAAGGGGATGTAGTGGACTCCCCGGTCATCATTTCCACTGGTTAAATACATAACGTACTGCTTCATTACTTTCCTTCTACTTTTCCTTTCTATTTCTGTCCGTCCATCCGCTGGCAGGTCATTACACCGGCACGAGTCTCCTAATGAGCCCATTAGCCGCTTCGGGCCGTCTCTCCCCTCTTACTCACCGATCTCTTGCTTTTACTTTCACTCACCACACTTTCCCAGTTGGGCCCATCGCGTCCTTCTTCCAACCCCCCCAATCGCTGAGGTCAATTCTCACCGGTTACCCGTCGTAACGCCATTCTATGAGTTCAGGCACCTTTTAGGTGTGTCTTATTTGGGTTACTAATAGTAACAGTTTACCATGTATTGTTTATTGGAGGCCTGTTTGCCATCAGCAGCCACAGTAGCGCCGTGTTTGTGTCCCTTCCGTCTGGCAGGAGGCTGAGGTCCATCAGGCCTAAGACCTCCCGCCACACCAACAGCAGAGCCCGGACCCCCACTGACTGACTCTGACATCCCACCGGTCACTCCCCTTCACACTGCACACGTCACTTTACTGTCATTTCTCACTCGTCACTTTGTCACTTGTTCGCTGGTGCACTTTATGCTTAATATTTTTTAACTTTTTTAATATTTTAAATGTTTAACTAACTTTATTCTCTTGTGTTACACTAACCCATATCCTTATTCTACTGACCCATTGCATTAGCATTTCATTTTACTTTATTTTATTACTTACTGTCTTGTTGTCTATTGTTACACTGTCTGCTGTCACGCACCAACCGCCACGACAAATTCCTTGTATGTTTGACATATTTTGGCAATAAATGATTCCTGATTCCTGAATGGAGGTAATACCTCTCCTCACAGTGCAGGTCGGGGAGAATACGTGTGTTCTAAAGGGCAGCGTTTCCTTTGCACAGCGGCCGCGTGACGCCTGCCGATGTCTCTGCTTCTCAGCACGGAGCGGCTCTATTAATAACACATGCACAGCTGTTCTTTTCAGATTTAGGCACCAAGATTTCATTTTTGCCTGTTTTCTCTCTCACACACACACAGATCTCACACATTACACAACTTGACTCCCACATTCACGCGAGCTAATGTGGGAGAGTTGTGTTTTCCGTTTAAATGCTGCAGATAAGTTTTGGACTCCTACACATAGAACAGAGTTACACAACATGTTAGCTCGCACCACGCCGAGGGCGGAGCCAAAGAACCTCCCGCGGGTTCCTATCAATAACGGGTTCCTATCAATAACGGGCTTGTTGGAAGTTGAACGGCTCAAACTGACTCTCGACCATTTACTTTTTTCATCTATTAAATCCTTTCATTTCTTATCTCGTTCTGATGGTATTGGTCGGTTTCATGGATTAACCCATCGTGCTGTTTGATCAGCGCCTGTCTGATTGACGACCCCGGCCTTCTCTCCCCAGCCGCCATCGAGGCCTGCCTGGGTCACCTGCTGAAGAGGCGGGCGGCCGGCTTCCTCCGCAGCGACAAGATCGCCGCCCTCTTCACCAAGGTCGGCAAGGTCTACGACACGACCGGCGACGTGTGCCGCAAAGTGCAGGAGCAGCTCCAGCAGCAGGCCGAGCTCACCAGGTGGGTCCGAGGGCCGATCGCACGCAGCGGGCCGAGGGCCAATCGCACGCAGCGGGCCGAGGGCCTTTGTTATTTTACAACATAAATGATGACCATGGGGCAAAACCATGACCACATAAAAGAAATACATCAGCATATATATATATTTATATATATATATATAAATATATATATATATATATAAATATATATATATATAATATATATATATATATAATATAATATATATTTAGATTTAATATTTATATTTATATATAATATTTATATATATTATATATATTTTATATCTATATATATATATATATTTTTTTAATATATATATTATATATATATATTTTATATAATTTATATATAAATGTTAATACATGAATACATTTATAAATACATTTTAAAAATACTGTTCTGTATATTCCGTTCAGGCGCTAACAGGTGCCCCCCCCCCCCTCCGCCTGCTCTTTGTGTAACATTCATTTAGCGTTGTCAACGTTGTGCCCTTTTGTCGAAGGCCAGGTCATAATCTCCACCCAGCTGCAGGTCCTCCCTTCATCTGTGTGCACACTGCGATAAGCCTCGGGCTCCTTTCTGTGTGTGTCTGTGTGTGAGCTTGTTGTGTTACCTGCTGTGTGTGTGTGTGTGTGTGTGTGTGTGTGTGTGTGTGTGTGCGTGTCCACAGAGTATGATAAACTGCTTGATCTGCGGGCACTTAGGTACCAGCCGAGCTGTTTGCGCGGCCATTAATTGTCCATTAGCCTGAGCCACATGTCTCTCTGCAGAGAGAGGCTTCCCCAAATGGAGGGGGGGGGCTTTAGTGCAGCAATCGCACACACACAAACACACACAAATAAGCACAAACAACGGAGTGCAGGCGGAGCGGTGTGGCGAGGCGTCGAAGGGAACCGCGGTGTGACGGGTCGTGACATCGTGATCTCAGAGATTTCTTCACTTTTTTGTGGTTCTGCTCTATCTCGCCCAATCAACTCATGAGACTGAAATTCACCCTGACACTCCACAAACTAGTCCGTAGTATAGGAGTGTGTGTAGATCAATGGGAATGTGTGAGCCTGCACAAGGACACATTGCTGTCATCACCATCTGGGAGACTCCATGTTTAATTTACCCTGGTAACTATGGCATCGCAGCGATTTTGCGCCTCCGGCGTCGAAAAGAGAGACGTGGAGAGAGAGTATGAGCAGTCGCCAGCAGTGGAGTAAAGAGTTATGTGTGGGGAGAGGAGGGGGGCGCTTGGTGAGGGTCTTGTATTGGAGCCGAGCTTCTTCAGATGGTTATTTCAGGCTCTGAAAAGGAGTCAGTCTGCACACACCTGCGAGTTCACAGGGCCTTCAGACTACAGAAATACAAACAAACACACACACACACGCACACACCTCAGTTCTACTCTTTCACTTTGTTTTGTTTTTGCAACCGGTGAACAGGAAGTGACCATTTTAGGACTGAGGACAGCGTGTTGTCCTTAATGCACTAAATCAACATCATGATGATGAAGACTTGAAACTAGAGACTGAGACCATAAACTCATGTTTACAATGTTTACTGAGGGAATAAATCAAGAGAGAAGGAGAGTCATTTCCTCATAGACGTCTATGGGAGCAGAGGAGTCGCCCCCTGCTGGTCACTACAGAGAAGTAGAGTCATTTCCTTATAGACGTCTATGGGAGCAGAGGAGTCGCCCCCTGCTGGTCACTACAGAGAAGTAGAGTCATTTCCTCATAGACGTCTATGGGAGCAGAGGAGTCGCCCCCTGCTGGTCACTACAGAGAAGTAGAGTCATTTCCTCATAGACGTCTATGGGAGCAGAGGAGTCGCCCCCTGCTGGTCACTACAGAGAAGTAGAGTCATTTCCTCATAGACGTCTATGGGAGCAGAGGAGTCGCCCCCTGCTGGTCACTACAGAGAAGTAGAGTCATTTCCTCATAGACGTCTATGGGAGCAGAGGAGTCGCCCCCTGCTGGTCACTACAGAGAAGTAGAGTCATTTCCTCATAGACGTCTATGGGAGCAGAGGAGTCGCTGCCTGAACCCAAAACACTAAATATTTCCGTCTGGAGGTCTCGAACTTAGACGTCATCAAGTCCGACCCACAGGAATAATCCACAGATGTTGTAAATCAGATCGGTTCCATTCGACGAGGTCATGTGACCAGCCTAACGTGAGGATTTTACTTTCCACCTAATGAAGATTACGGAGTGGAAAGGATGGTGCTTTCAGGTTTCATGTTTCTCGTCTCGGATGCAGACGTCACAGTGTGGTGGAGTTTACTCTTACGAGCGATGACATCACACCGTGTAGAGAAATAAATCCCCACTCAGCAGACATGGAGCCTCCGCAGGTGTGATTGAGAAGAGGAGGTCTGTGTTTGTGACACACACACACACACACGCTGACGTCGTGACTGCGGCAGCCTCCCCCCCCCACAGACACACACTGGCAGCTCACGACGTGCCAGAGATCCTCCTCCCTTCCTTCCTGTTGAGACAGACTTCAGTCAGCTGATCTCATCCATCCTTCATACATTCATTGCTCCTGATGGTCAATCCTTCCCTTTGCTGACCTTCACCTCCATCCACTCATCTGTGGGCCGGGCTCTCCAGCTGTTTTCTGTTTAGAGCCAACTCGTAACTCCTGACTTGTTTCTCTGTGTTGGATCGTATTTGAAGTAGAATTTAGAGATGTTTTGTTTTGTTCAGATTAAACTGTATTATTCCCAAAACGGGTTTTGTGATTCAACAGAAGAATAAATATCAACATAAATAATAAGAAATATCAAGCGTCAAGGGCGTAATAATGGCACCAGCGGAAGATAAAATAGCCATCGTAGTAAGATAAATGAAGAAAAGGTACGACACACGAGACCGTAAAACCAATGATTCATAGTAACACCAATAAGAGAAGCGTATATCGCAAATTATCTGGATACTACAGGTGTGGAGGGGGGGGGGTGCTCTCTCTCTCTCTTACACCTAATGACGTCCCCCCATAATCTACCCCCCCTGCAGGAGAACCCAGAGCGCCGGCCACGAGCCTCTGAGGAGGCAGGGCTCCTCCTCCACCACCATCACCAGCCGCCCCCCCCAGCCGCTCTCCGCCCAGGCCATCAAACACATCTGGGTCCGCACGGCGCTCTTCGAGAAGGTCCTGGACAAGATCGTGCAGCACATCGTGGACAACTCCAGGTGAGCGGCCGTCCATCACAACTCACATCGAAGCTCAGCCAAAGTAATAAATGTCCTTCTGGAGACGTGTGACACATGTCCCAGCATGCATTGCAGCCTCTCTGCTCTCTTCCTGCAGTAAATACTATGAGAGGGACGCTCTGATGCACGACTCGGTGTTCGGCCCCATCCTGGCGGCGCTGCTGGGTGAGTGTGTGACGCAAACAGGAAGTACCGAATCCTCACGTCTTCTTGTTGAAATCAACCTTAGAAGACAAGTCCTTTCAAAATAAAACCTCTGAGAAAACAACTCAGACAAAAGAATTACCACACACACACAGAAACACACACACACACACACACACACACAGTGGAGTTGACGGTTGGAACCCCGGCTGCTTCACGTCCCACGTCAAAGTGTCCCTGAGCAAGACACCAACCACTAACTGCTCCCCGGGTTGTAAGTGGAAAATCATGGGTTAGAAATGCAATGTAAGTCACGTTTAGCGTCGGCTAAATGGCCTGTAATGAAATAAACAACTAAACCAGGAGAAGACATGATGAGCGGCGGTCACAGGACTGAAGCCCCCTGGGGGGCAGAAGAGGAACCGCAGGGACAGAAATAGCATCTCGACTGATCATCACTATGAAACATGTGCCGTACAAAAAGGTGATTATAGTTTGTGTTTAGTTTGCAGTTGGGGCACATCGATAGAAAAAGAAAAACAGAATCTACAACTTATTAGAGCAACGCGTCAGTCTGATAAACACAGTAAATGTCAACGTGTAAAAGTACCTTTCTAAAATCACCACGCGAAGCAAAGAGAAAGACCTTTGGTGCAAAATGATTTACCAAATGAAAGTAAATAGAAATCATACACTCATTACTTAAGGACAACGTACACTTATTTACACATTTGTTTGCATATTTCTATGATTATATGATTACAGCTGCTCTTTAACTGGCTTTTAATACACAATAATTGGTGTTTATTTCATACAGTTAGTTTAGGGACAAAGTGTACTGTACCTTTAAGAAAGTGCCCTCTAAGAATGCTCCTAAAAAGACTCGACTATAAATACACCGTCTGCCAGTGCTGCGATTGGCCGACAGACTGTGTCATACAGCATGTCACAGGTAATAATACAATAATGCAATGTAATAATAACACATGCACGTACACGTGCACTGTGAGTGCCACAGGAAGCAGTTTTCAGGCCTGTCGACGTGTGTTGAGGACTCGTCTTTGCGTGCGTCGTCCCCAGTGGGTCCCTGCGCTCTGGAGTACACCAAACTCAAGACCTCGGACCACTTCTGGACCGACCCGTCGGCCAACGAGCTGGTCCAGCGCCACCGTATCCACGGCGCCCACCGGTGCCAGGACGCCTCGGCCGGCCGCCGGCCCGCCCTCGGGGTGAGTGCGGAGTGCCGCGTGCATTTCTTTCCGGTTTTTGGGGGGGTCCGGCGCCGCGGCGGCGGCGTGGGACTGCGCTAACTTTCCTCCTCTCGCAGATCCGGAAGAGGCAGTCGAGCGTCAGCATGTCGGACGACCGGTTCGCTGCGTCGGCGAGAGAGTACGTGGAGTCTCTGCACCAGAACTCCAGGAGCCACCTCCTCTACGGCAAGAACAACGTGCTGGTGCAGCCGGTACGCGACCTCTGACCTCTGTGGCACACACAGAGCTCCTGTGGAGGAACACGAGACACATATGCAGAAAATAAGTGCTGCGCTTTGTAAAAACAACGCATGACGGGGTTCATTCTTTACTACTTTAGACCGTGAGAAGTGTAAGAGAGAAGTGTCAATCCAAGTGAACGTTTAAGAGCAGAAATCCAACGTGGTCTCATAAATAAACCCTCAGCACAGACAGCTGGTTGTCACATGCACAACAAATCACGGTTATTTCGGTCCATTATCGCGCTGCCTACACACACACTCTCACACTCACGCACACTCACACTCACGCACACCGGCGGTGTTTAGCATGTGTGATCCTTGAAATGAAAGCTGTCTGCAGAGTGCGTCGCACAATGGGCGCCTTCGCCAGATGTTCTTTTAGTCCGGAGCTCCTTCTCACCTCGTCCTCTCGTCTCCGGCAGAAGAAGGACATGGAGGTGCTGCGCGGCTACTTGTCGCTGCACCAGGCCGGCGATAACCTCACCCTGAAGTGGACCCCCAACCAGCTGATCAACGGCACGCTGGGGGACTGTGACCTGGAGAAGAGGTGTGTTTATAAGATACAAATAAATGGTGTAAAAATCGTTTCATTTAAATGTGTTATTTAGACTGCCGTCTCTCCGTCAGTATCTACTGGGACTACGCACTCACGGTCCCCCTGCGGCAGATCGTCTGCATCCACTGTCACCAACGGCGTGAGTACGACGGCTGCTTTCCCACAATTCCTCGTATGCGCCAACGTACCCATGTGGACGTGCATCGCTGGCCTTCCTCTGTCCGCTCCGCTCTGAACCGTCTGTTGCACTTCACGGATCTATAGCTCCATGTCTTTTCCTCCAGCTGATTGTGGGGGCACGCTGGTTCTGGTCAGTCAGGATGGAATCCAGCGACCGCCCCTCCACTTCCCCCCCGGCGGTCACCTGCTGGCTTTCCTCTCCTGCCTGGAAACGGGCCTTTTACCGCGGGGTCAGCTGGAGCCCCCCCTCTGGTCCCAGAAAGGCAAGGTGAGTCATCCACAACTGGGCGGCACTTTAAAGTTTGATGTGCTTAATGTGTTAAAGCTGTATTGTCTCTCCTGACCAGCAGGGGGCGACTCCTCTGCTCCCATAGACGTCTATGAGGAAATGACTCTACTTCTCTGTAGTGACCAGCAGGGGGCGACTCCTCTGCTCCCATAGACGTCTATGAGGAAATGACTCTACTTCTCTGTAGTGACCAGCAGGGGGCGACTCCTCTGCTCCCATAGACGTCTATGAGGAAATGACTCTACTTCTTCCGTAGTGACAGCAGGGGCCGACTCCTCTGCTCCCATAGACGTCTATGAGGAAATGACTCTACTTCTCTGTAGTGACCAGCAGGGGCGACTCCTCTGCTCCCATAGACGTCTATGAGGAAATGACTCTACTTCTCTGTAGTGACCAGCAGGGGGCGACTCCTCTGCTCCCATAGACGTCTATGAGAAAATGACTCTACTTCTCTGTAGTGACCAGCAGGGGGCGACTCCTCTGCTCCCATAGACGTCTATGAGGAAATGACTCTACTTCTCTGTAGTGACCAGCAGGGGGCGACTCCTCTGCTCCCATAGACGTCTATGAGGAAATGACTCTACTTCTCTGTAGTGACCAGCAGGGGGCGACTCCTCTGCTCCCATAGACGTCTATGAGGAAATGACTCTACTTCTCTCTTGATTTATTCCCTCAGTAAACATTGTAAACATGAGTTTATGGTCTCAGTCTCTAGTTTCAAGTCTTCTTCAATACAGCATGATGTTCATTTAGTAAATTATGGTCCATTTAGAGGCCATACAGGCCATAAAGCAGGGGATGCTTTAGGGCGGAGCTTACTGTGATTGACAGGTCTCTACCACATCATTGTGTGGTTTTTGTATCCAAATTTCCCAAAGAATACATGCATTTCAATTCCAAACTAACAAAAGTTCCTTCAAATGTTGGTATTTAGCAAATAATAATAATAATATAAAGTTATGCACCCGTAACAGATATTTCATTACTAGTCTATTTTACAAGTAGCTTTTCAGCCAACTTGTTTCCCATAATTTAACAGTTTCTCAGACTTATTGTAGTGAGGATTTAAGCTTTTAGAGCTCAGCCTGTGAAATGTCTGATTTAAAATCCTTTGTGTTTCTCAGGGGAAAGTGTTCCCTAAACTGAGGAAGAGGAGCAGCACCGCCAGGCTCCTGGACCAGGACGGCGAGGAGCAGACTGCCGCAGACTACGTGTTCCGCATCGTGTACCCCGGTTCCCGCCAAGACGCCAGTAAGTGCCCCCCCCCCCCCCCCCACACGCCGCGGCAAAAAACACACTACTGCCCTCTTTCTGAATGAAATACGATCTGTCAATCTGCCTGATGTGTATTGCAAAAAGTTCCGGAGCGAGCGTGGCGCCCCCCTCCCTCCACCCATCCCCCAGGGGGCCGCGGGGCTGACACTGTTCTAACTGTGTTTCTTTGTTGTTCCACTGGTGATGAGAAGTCACCATAAACTACCACCACACCACGGGCAGCCGCGCGCCGTCGCTGGACGACGACGAGGAAGAGGAAGATAGGCTCCATGCTATGATCTCAATGATCTGCTCGCGGAACCTCACAGACCCTAATGTCATGAAAGGTTTTTATCACCTTAACACACCCAGCAAACCAAGCGACCACCCCCCCCCAACCCCGGCTTCAGACGCCCCTCCCTGCATCCTTCCCATCATGCCCCTCTCCCACCCCGCCCAGCCCTCCCAGCTTCCTCTCCCCTGTGTGTGTGTGTCTGTGTGTGTGTGTGTGTGTGTGTGTGTGTGCTTCCTGAGCCCAGCAGTGTGGAGGGGGCGGGAGTTGCGTGCGCTCTGGGTTGATTGACAAGCATGTGATTATAAATAAAATCCTTAGCATTCTATTGGACCATTCTGAAAGTGGGCGGGCTTAGAGGGAAAGGGAAAAACCTTCGGCCGGCAACGGAGCTCCACGCTCACCGGCTTCACCCGTCACTTCATTGCGGTTCGGCCGCACAAAGTCGATGTAGAAATGTATTAGAGTTGCATTCTGTGTAGTGACCAGCAGGGGGCGACTCCTCTGCTCCCATAGACGTCTATGAGGAAATGACTCTACTTCTCTGTAGTGACCAGCAGGGGGCGACTCCTCTGCTCCCATAGACGTCTATGAGGAAATGACTCTACTTCTCTGTAGTGACCAGCAGGGGGCGACTCCTCTGCTCCCATAGACGTCTATGAGGAAATGACTCTACTTCTCTGTAGTGACCAGCAGGGGGCGACTCCTCTGCTCCCATAGACGTCTATGAGGAAATGACTCTACTTCTCTGTAGTGACCAGCAGGGGGCGACTCCTCTGCTCCCATAGACGTCTATGAGGAAATGACTCTACTTCTCTGTAGTGACCAGCAGGGGGCGACTCCTCTGCTCCCATAGACGTCTATGAGGAAATGACTCTACTTCTCTGTAGTGACCAGTAAGTTGAAGAAAGTTTTGACACATCCAGTTATTGATTTGTCCAATGCATTTACACTGCCCCTGTATTGCATTGTAGTCCCCTGGTGATATAAGTGTAGATTTGTGTGTCATCTGCATAACTGTGATAACACACGTATCGTTTTCCATAATCACGAAAAGGGAAGATGCTTTTTTGCCAGTGAGACATTGTTTTAATTACTGATTTTTGAAGTGCGATCTCAATAATTTCTCTCTTGATAAGAGATACTTCTCTCTTGATTTGTTCCTTCAGTAAACATTAGTTTATGGTCTCAATCTCTGTTCATTTAGTAAATGATGGTCTATCTAGAGCCAAACAGACCATAAAGCAGGGGACGCTTTAGGGCGGGGCTACACGCCGATTGACAGGTCTCTACCAGAAACGTACGCAACGTCTCTGTCCTCCTCAGTCCAAATACGGTCACTTGTAAAAAAAATATCTGGCTGTGATCCAAGATGGCGTTCGCCAAATGGCCGAACTCGAGGCTCCATGACGTTACCGTGACTACGTCGCCTCCTGGACGCAGTCGGCGGGCGGCGAGCCTTAAACGCTTCTGGGTTTCCGACTCGCTTTGACCATTTGCTTTGCTTTGATTTTGATCATTTTTTGCACTTTATCGTCGACTTTTTTTTTTCGTGCTTTCATTTCTGACATAATTTGGTCAATATGTACCCAGTATGTTTTTTTTGTAGTTTTTTTAAAAGTACGACTGTGTTTCTTCGTATCTGTGAAACAAAACCTTCCTTTGTTTTGGTTTTGCTCTTCTTCCTCAGTTGTTCCTCCTCTGTTGGGGCAGTCGTTGGCTGCAATGCTGTTCACTGTAATTCTTCACTAACTTCGCCGCCCCCGCCCCCCCTCCCCCGTCAACCTCCACCCCCCCCCCCACCCTCATTACGGTCCTGTGGGGTTCCGCAGTAGTAGAGACGTGGAGCGATTGTGCCCCAAAATTGATCTCGTCTAATTAAGTAAAGGGGGGGGGTCAAATGTCGGTCTCGCTGCCACATTTTTCCTGTTTACTTTTTTTCATTTCTTCCGTTCTTAATATTATTTGTTTTTTGGGGTTTTATTGAACGACCAAAAGGCGCAGCTTCATATTTATGACAGGTCGTCAGCTCCAACCTGAAGAATTAAGGTGAAGAGCATTTATTTAATGTTTTTATGAGTTCCTTTATTCTCCCTCCCTCTTTTCAGTCTGCCCCTTTTGTACATTTTGTCTGGTATTTGTTTTTGTTGTTTATGAGATGATTTCTTCTTCTTGCTCTGTGCATCCTGCATGACCACCCCCCCCCCCACCCCCCGCCCCCCCCTCCTCCACCACCTTCATCCCGTTCTCCTCCTCTTATCAGCTCCTTCACTTCCTCTCCTCTTCCTGTGCTCCTTCCTCTCTCTCCACCTGTGAATGAACCGAACCAGCATGGCTTCCCCTCTCCCCATCACCCCCACCCGCCCCACCACCCTCCCCCCTCCCCAACCCACCTTTCCCCTTTTGGTTTCCTCTCTGCAGTAGTTTTTGTAAACTTTCATCCATCTCCCCGTGTCGTGAGTGACGGATGTGTTCATGGTTGAGCTGAGCGGCCTCCGTCATAATATGCAAGAGAGTCGAACACATGGAGACAGCAGCGTCCATCCTCTCTCCCCCCCTCTCTCTCTCTCCCCCCTCTCTCTCTCTCTCCCCCCCCTCTCTCTCTCCCCCCCCCCCCCCCCCCCTCTCTCTCCATCCTCTCACTTTTCACCCCCTCTCGCTGCTTTCAGACCACGGGGAGATGATGGAGATGCAGGGATTTGGAGGCAGCCCGTCGTCGTGGCAACCGGCGGAAGGAGCCGCCCCCGAGCCGCTGTGTCTGTCCTGCTCGGCGGCGGGCAGCGACGTGTCGTTCGACTTCTCGGCCGGCTGCACCTGCGTGCACACCACGTCGGACATCCACACGTACGTCCCTCCAAAGTAAAAGCAGAGCCGGTGGCGTTAGTGGACGGACATCTTCGGCCCTTCAAACTGCGAGCAGCCAGGCGGCATTTTTTTTTTTTCCTTAGTAAAAGGTTTAGTAGTAGCAACATTTTAACATATAGAATGTTATGTTTTAAAAGAAACATCACACTTTTTTGCTTTGTTTTCTTGGATTTCTATACAAAGCATTGAAAAAGATGGTTTTATTTCATCTTGCACACGGCAGGTGACCAGAGGATTAAAAGTTTTTTTGGGATAATGTACACACATTAGAGGAAGTGAACTCTCCATCGCCATGGAGACGCTTAATAGTTATGTGACTTGGTGAAATGGGAGTTCACCCTATCCATTAGAAAAAGACATTAAGGCATTAAAGTGTCTCAGCCTTCATCCGTTTGAGCGTTTCTTCATTGGAAACAAACACTTTAAAGAATGAGCCCTAACAAATCAGACATCAACGTAACGGCGTTTTTCTTCTTCCTTCATTCAGGGTTCCTCTTAAGATGCTCTGCCAGAACATGAAGAGGCAGATTGTGTCCAGAGCCTTTTATGGATGTAAGTATCTATCGCAGTATTCATTCCTGCATCTCGTACCTTCATGCTGCTTTTCTTCACCGGCAACTAAAATTCTGCTTTCTAAAACCAGTAAGAAACCTTGATGAATAAACTCTGTAATGAACTGCTGGGTAAAATGCATTCATAGTGGGGATTGAAATCAGAGGAGATTCCAAATAGGATACAATGCTATGAGCACATAGATGTGTTAGCTACAGGACATCGTATTTCTGACTTTGGTCCGAGCCGCGTTGGTTTCTCTTCGACTTCCCCGCTGACCGTAACGTCCCCCCCCCCCCCCATGGTCACCATGGTCACCGCCGACAAGACCTCACAAAACCTCGATGTTTTTTGAGAAGTTGGCTCTGAATATATAGTGTATGTATAGAAGGGCTGTCAACATAACAGGCGTTAATCTACGCGATTAATGTGGCTGAGATTAATGCCACTAAACTATTTTAACGTAGTTAACGTACGTTTGTTTACTTCCGTTTTACCACGGAACGAAGCGGCCGCTCGCTGCAGTCAGTCACATCAAGGTGGAAAGTACTTTTGCGTTGGAAGTGAAGCAGGTGCGGCATTCAGCGGAGAAGTGAGCAGAGGAATTACTCCACGAGTCAAACAGAAGGGGGGGTGAGTGGCAAACGGACCACTTACAGCACCGCCATGCTATATGCTAAGCTGGCTGCTAGGCTACTTCCGTCTCGACATCTAACGTTACCCTGCGCGGCACACAGTCTGCAGAGGACCGCCACCGTGTCCCTAAACGGCGCGGTTTGAAAACGTCCTGCTAAATGCGGGTTGACACCTCAAACACAGCCGGTAAATGATGAGAGTTGAGAGCAAAAGAGTCTCATGTTCAACATGTTCAACCAGGCGGAATTCTGCCTCCAAGATGATCAAATGTGTGTAGTTTTGTGTTTAAAATGAACAATTAAACTAAAATATGCGCTTTTTACTCATTACTCAAAATGCGATTAATTAGTTTTTTTAATCTATTGACAGCCCTAATAAATAAATATACAGTATATGTATAAATAGTGATTTAAAGGCTACAACCTCTTTCACGTCACTTCCTGTTTACTGGTTGCAAAAAGCCCAGATGGCAGCGACCCGAATCAATGAACTTGAGCTTAAACCCCCCCCCCCCCCCCCTCCAACCAATGAGCAATGAGTCACGTCACCATGACTACGTCTACTTCTGTGTGTGTGCGTCCGTCCCATCAGGGCTGGCCTACTGTCGTCACCTGTCCACGGTACGAACTCACCTGTCGGCTCTGGTCAACCACAACATCGTCCCTCCGGACAGACCATGCGAGGCCTCCGGGGGCCTCAGCAAGGAGGTGTGGAGCAAGTACCAGAAAGACTGCAAGGTGGGTTGTGGGTTGTACGTCCCGGACTCCGTCGCCCCCCCCGGTGAATAATGTGACCCTGAGCCCAGAGTCTCCGTTATTGATCGATCCCGATAGATTCATCTCGGTGGCGCGGTGCCTCGTTTGGGGAGGCGGGGGGCTGAGTTACGCGAGTGAAGCTGACGAGGAGCTTCTGCTTTATTTATGCTTCCCTGGTATATTAAAAGTGTCTGGCGCTTTACTGTAAGTTAATGGTGTAAGTCACTCCATCACTCTAATGAAGATTTAACGAGCTTCCTCTCGGGTCGCGGCGTGATACCATCGCAGCTATTAGACTTTCATCCTCTCACCGCCACTGATTTGCACTCTATTCATATCTGGCCGCTTTATCTTCTGCACTCACTCCATTATTGATGCGCTTCCCCTTTGTTCCCCCCACGGCCCTCACTTCTGATCTCCTTCTCCCCGTCACCTCTGTTCTTCTTCTCCTTTGTTTGATCCGCCGCGCGTAGAACTACAAGGAGCTGGAGCTGCTGCGGCTGGTTTATTACGGCGGCGTGCAGCACGACATCAGGAAGGAGGTGTGGCCTTTCCTGCTGGGTCACTACAAGTTCGGCATGGCCAAGAAGGACATGGGCCAGGTACGGCCGACGCCTCCTCACTGGCTCTCGTCGTTCGGGGGGATAAAAGCAATGTGTGATTTCAAAAACTGTTCTGATTTGAAGATTGACGGCAAGGTCAGCGAGCGCTACCAGCAGGTGATGCGCGAGTGGAAGGCGTGCGAGGTGATCGTCAGGCAGCGGGAGAAGGAGATGCAGTCGGCCATCTTCGCCAAGCTGTCGTCGGGCAGCAGCATCGACAGTCACTTGCTGCGGCTCGTCCACCGGGGACTCCACGCTCAGCAACGAGGTGACGGCGCGGCGGCGTCTCCGGGGGCGCTAATGATATTTATTTGATGTATTATTGAGCTTAAAGATTAAGTTATAATATGTTTAATGTAAATAAATCCTATTACAGAGCATATCGACCTCTGATCATAGTGATGAACATGATCCTCCATGTGACCCCCCCCGTCCCGCAGGTGTTCATGTCCGTGGATGAGCCCGACGCCGGGAGCCAGGAGACCCCCGGCGGGGAGGACGGCGGCCCCACCATGACCACCCTGGTCCCCCCCGTCGCCCCGCCCGCGGAGGAGCGGCCGCAGGTGGAGTTCGACTCCCCCGACTCGGGCCTCCCCTCCTCCAGGAACTACTCGGTGACCTCCGCCCACTCCCAGATCCTCTCCAGCATCGATGACGGCCAGAGCACGGAGGAGGAAGGCGGGGGCGCGGAGGAGGGCGGAACCACCGGCGGCGCCCTGGGGGGCTGCGTGGGGCCTCTGACCGAGGGCAGGCTGTGCAGCCAGCTGGACAAACTGGTGACCGGCGGGGGGGCCGCGGAGGCCTCGTGCCCGTCGCTCTCCTCGTACACGGTGCGTACAGAGCAGGGGCTCCCAAACCGTTCTCCCCCTAAGCTCCACCCACCTTTTGGGGGGAAAAGTATAAGCCCCGCCCCCTGAATGGATCGTACCTTCTTATTCTGAAGTAGCATTATGACACTTGAGCCTCTACGTGTCCTCACGGTGACCTCTATGTGTCCTTGCTTTGACCTCTATGTGTCCTTGCTTTGACCTCTATGTGTCCTCACGGTGATCTCTATGTGTCCTCACTTTGACCTCTATATGTCCTCACGGTGACCTCTATGTGTCCTTGCTTTGACCTCTATATGTCAACACGGTGACCTCTACGTATCCTTGCTTTGACCGCTATGTGTCCTCACGGTGACCTCTATGTGTCCTTGCTTTGACCTCTACGTGTCCTCACGGTGACCTCTACGTGTCCTCACGGTGACCTCTACGTGTCCTCACGGTGACCTTTCGTTGAGTCTCTCTGAGTCTCCTGCTTCTTGTCTGCAGATCGAGCTGCTGGACACCGTCGCCCTGAACCTCCACCGCATCGACAAAGATGTGCAGCGCTGTGACCGCAACTACTACTACTTCACCTCGGCCAACCTGGAGAAGCTACGCAACATCATGTGCAGGTCCGTGGGGGCCTTAAAGCCCCCCCCCCCCCCCATCCAAGTCCTGTGTAGAGAATAACTGTATTTAAGAAGGTGTTCATCACGCTGTCTCCTGGTCTGCAGCTACGTGTGGGAGCACCTGGAGATGGGCTACGTCCAGGGCATGTGCGACCTGCTGGCTCCACTCATGGTCATCCTGGACGATGGTGAGGAGGCCCGTCTACTGCTCTTCATCATGGGATTATGAATGTGGAATGAAGGCAGAATTAAAGTTATTTACAGTCCCTGTGAGGAACCTTTAACTGATCCCGATCGGTCTCCGTTAAGTCCACTGTGGACCAAACGAGACCATCAGAGAGAAGGTGTTCTGTTTCTATGGCGTCCCTATGACATCATGCAGGTGTAGTGTGTGTGAGAGGTTAAGCGTTGTCATGGCGACATGAGGCCCCTCCTCTTCCCCTGTGTGTCAGAGTGTCTGGCCTACAGCTGCTTCACCCAGCTGATGAAGAGGATGAGTCACAACTTCCCCAATGGAGGAGCCATGGACACTCACTTCGCCAACATGCGGTCCCTGATCCAGGTGAGGACCACTCCTGTGAGTGTGTGTGTGTGTGTGTGTGTGTGAGTGTGTGTGTGTGTGTGTGTGTGTGTATGACCTCATTGACCCCCCCCCCCCCCTCTGATGTCAGATCCTGGACTCGGAGCTGTTTGAGCTCATGCAGCAGAACGGAGACTACACTCACTTCTACTTCTGCTACCGCTGGTTTCTGCTGGACTTCAAGCGAGGTGAACGACACACACACACACTCAAGAAGGAAAACGCAATAAAGCATCTGTCACTGGTGAAGCGCTCCATTGTGTTTGCGTAGAGAAACTATTGAGCTGCAGTTTGTCGACTCACATGTAGATTTAAAAACAGAAGAATCTTCTTTGTTTATGACCCTACTTGTGTATTTCTATTAGTAATGCTTTTCACTCTACATTCATTTGACGCCAGTAGTTACTTATCAGCTTAGTAACGCAAAGTCTAAATACAAGTACAATAATGTTGTGTTAATATTTAATAAGCAACCTGGCAGCACAACGTGCCCCACTTCCACCAGCCGCAGCATCAGCGTGATAATCTGCATCATCGGATGTTCATATGGGTGTAAAATGTGTCACTACCTTTGATGCTCATACTTTAGTTCTTTTATACAAGTACAAGGGTGCATGCAGTACTACTGTCTGAATAAAAAACTCTTATGAAACATGAGTAGAACAAAAAAAAAGAAGTCTCATTGTGACCATTCCAGGAAGTGATGACAGAGAAATGGCTTTGTGCGCCTGCGTGTGTGTGTGTGTGTGCGTGTGTGTGTCCTTGTGAGGACCACCACGCAGCGGAGGAGAAACCATGGCAACAGGATGTGGCACAAAGGGGAGCCGTGCACGATGCTGCAGGTTAAACTCCTCTAGTGACGCGTCTCCTTTTCTCCAAGGGAGGAGGCTGCTTTCATCGGAAAGGTGGCAGTAGATGGAGGAGGAGGAGGAGGAGGAGGAGGAGGAGGAGGAGGTGTCTACCGCCACCTTTCAGATGAAAGCGGGGGGTCTTCAAACAGGGAATGTCCTGTAATACTCACTTTTATCTTTGATCATGAACACATCATGAACATGCCGCAGCTTCCAGAAGTCGACATCATGTGTGTGCGTGTGCGTGCGTGTGCGTGTAGAGCTCCTGTACGAGGACGTGTTCGCCGTGTGGGAGGTGATCTGGGTGGCTCCCAGGATCTCCTCGCAGGACTTTGTCCTCTTCCTGGCGTTGGCCCTGGTCACAGTTTACCGCGACATCATCATGGACAACAACATGGACTTCACCGACATCATCAAGTTCTTCAATGGTGAGGAGCGCACACACACACACACACACACACACACACACACACACACACAGTGCCGTGTCTTATTTAAACTGTTTTGTTGTGGTCTGACTCAAAGAGTAAAAGTACACAGTTCAAATAGTTCACTAAAATGAGTAAATGCTTCCACAGAGATGGCCGAGCGCCACGACGTCCAGCACATCCTGAAGGTGGCACGCGAGCTGGTGCACCGAGTCCAGTCTCTGATGGACAACAAGTGACCATAGAGCAGGAGGAGCAGGAGGGACCACTCAGCTCCTCCTCTCATCCCGTGGAGGGACCAGAGGGACTCCTGGTGTCTCCTCACTGCCAGTGGGGGGGGGGGGGGGGGGGCAGAGGCCTCCGGAGCTCGATCTGTTTACATTGTTCCTCATGGAATGCCCGTGTGTCCGTTCAGACATCTGTCTGCATGCTTGTGAGTTTGGTCCCACTGACGACCCCCCCACCTCCATCCAACCCCCCCACCTCCTCCTCCACCCCCCCACCTCCTCCTCCCTCTCGACGTTGTGAGCGGAGCAGAAGACTGAGCCACGAAGAAGCTTTCATCAGTGACCAAATGGACTGTGCCAACGTTTTCTACAGCTAGCATGTGTGTGTTACTCCCTTCCTTACTCCCTCCCGACTGCTTCCTCACTCCCTCCTCTCCTCTCTCCTTCTGTCCAACGTGGCCTTTACGTGTGGCCGCGCGGCACTCGGCTGCACCTCCTCGAGGAGGCGACCGGTTGAGGGACGGCGGATGAATTGCAGCCATGTTTCCGAGTGGAGGCTCAGCAGTGAAGCACACGACCTTCCTCCGCGCTGTAATATCAACACACTATTCCTTAATATTACTCTGTTTAGTAGCGCAATAGCTTTGGAAGACTATTTAAAAGAATATTTACAATTAATATAATCTTTACAATCAGCAATTGACACAGTAGAATAAAACATCAACCCTACTTTGGTCTTTTATTATGACCTCATCATTTCTTTTACAAAGAAAAATATTTTATATTTAGGAACAAACATTAGGTTCAAATAAAAGCATTTAGGATCATCCAAAACCTTTTACATCGTGATGTTGAGTAACACAAATTAAAAACTTTTAAGACGTATTTTCAAAGACGTTTTCTAGCATTTGAAAAGATGAAACTGGAAATTAATCCATTATTAGCATTGTTCTAGATTTGTGTTTGGTAAAAGCGTTGATGGAGGGTACGAGAATGTGAATAAACATATTTATTATGTTTATAAAGATGCTAATTCCTGCGAGACATTCATCTGTTTCAACGAATAATAATCAAACCTTTTAAACTCTGTGGCCTCATCATCACCAATACCAAACACAGACATTTAAAATATAATGTCCTTTGAAAAGAAACCTTCACTCACTTTTTGTCTTTTAGTAAACTTTACAGGAGTAAATAGTCAATTTGAAGGGGATTATTTTCAGTGGCTCATTAACGTGCATTTGAAGTTATTTGTATTTACAGCAGCAAGTTTATCTGTTTTTAAAACTGCAAAATATACATAATAGGAAATAATTATGTATTTACACACAATATTCTATCTCGCAGTAGAACATCAAAGCTGCAGACTTCTGGTCTTAGTACACACAATAGAATTCTCCATTGTGGACACTTTAACAAAGCCTCCTGACGATAAATACCACCAGCAGGGGGCGACTCCTCTGCTCCCATAGACGTCTATGAGGAAATGACTCTACTTCTCTGTAGTGACCAGCAGGGGGCGACTCCTCTGCTCCCATAGACGTCTATTAGGAAATGACTCTACTTCTCTGTAGTGACCAGCAGGGGGCGACTCCTCTGCTCCCATAGACGTCTATGAGGAAATGACTCTACTTCTCTCTTGATTTATTCCCTCAGTAAACATTGTAAACATGAGTTTATGGTCTCAGTCTCTAGTTTCAAGTCTTCTTCAACACAGCATGATGTTCATTGAGTATGATTTACTAACTAGAGTCAAACAGACCATAAAGCAGAGGACACTTCTGGGCGGGGCTACACGCTGATTGACAGGTCTCTACCACCTCAGTCCTGATATGGTCACTTCCTGTTCACTGGTTGCAAAAAGCCAAGATGGCTACGGCCAAAAAGCCAAACTTCAGGCTTCAAAACAGAACAGGTTACGTCACCGTGACAACTTCTCATAGACGACATACACAAAAGACACAAGGCTACACACACGTGATGCTGAAGCAAAATGTTACCTGTCGGACTCTTTGTCATCGCGTCGAGCAGTGCTGTGAGGAAAAGTGGTTGCAATTGTCCGTGTCCCTCGTCCTCGCTCTGAAAAAAACAGAACACGCTTTGATCAAATCGGTCAACAAAGAATCGGAGAAGAAGCTTCTCTTCGTGCCAACAGTCTCTCGTGCTCCATCAGCCCTTCGCCTGAAGGGAGCTCGAGAAGTGTTTTGATACCTCAGCGTGACCCTTGACCCTTGACCCTTCCTCGTCTCCTTAAAAAGATGCCCCGACACGGCTGCATACGATTGGTCACCCAGCAGGGAGCTGCACCTGTGATCCAAGTGCCAAGTCTTCCCCCCCCCCCCCAAGTCCTCAAAGTGTACGGTAGTCACCGGCTACAGGAACGGGCCCCCCCCCCCCCACCCCCCTGCCCTACCGCGGGGGTACCGGCCCCTAAGCTAGACTCCTTTTCTTCCAATCAGGACGTTGTGAACCAAAGCCTTGAAAAGAGCCCCCTCTGCGGCATGACGACAATGTGCACTTTCATAATGCATCTTGAAGACCGACTGTTTACTACGTGTGTGGAATATTTTTGAAAATGGTTACCTTGGATTCTCTAACTACTGTGCAATCTCTGTTGTTTTGAGAAAATTCTATATTGCTGTAAATACGAACCGAAAGCCCGATATTTCTATGACGACAGTCTGAACACACACATACACACATATATACATACATATATATATATACACATATATATACACATACATACATACATATATATACATATATAACTTATTTTGAGATCTATTTTTATGTTGGTTTTAGCAGCACTAGCCGAATGTGTGCAGACTGTGTTACACGTTGACTGTTAAGTGTTATTTCTCAATGTTGTGCACTGACTTCAAAACATTTCGATTTACTAAGAGATTCCATGATTGCATTGCTGAATATGTATTGGTGAGGATGTATCTTTTGCCTTGAATGTAATGTGTTGTTAAATAAGAGGTTGTACATTACCACGTTTCTTTCTTCATTTAACTCTTCATCCTCTGTGGCTTCGTGTTGCTTTTGTTAGTTCACGTTTAACGCAGAAGAGTCAACAGTTCAACGGGGGGGGGGCCTGAGGCACCGCGCATGCGCAGAGGAGCCGGCGCGGCAATTGTTTTCGGGCAAGCGGTTGGTTGGACTGCGCATGCGCCGTAGTCCAACGTCCCTTCAGGCGTCAGATACGATCTTACAGTTCGCTTAGTTCGCTGACGCCATTGATCAGCTTCACTAGCCGCTCTGCAGCTGTTTAGCTAACGGCAGTTATCGATCGCGACGTCGTGACAACCGCGGCGGCTTATCGGCTCCGGGAAGGAGGAGAGCTCAACTGTGGACGATGTTACCCGCCTTGCTGTGCGGGGCCGTGGTGTTTCCAGGACTTTTTCAGGGCTTCAGGAGGCTTCTGAGGTCCACTTTCACCCACTGGAGCGACGCAGACGTGGTTTGCGTCAGCGAGAGGTCAGCGGTTCCCCGAACCGAACCCCTTTAAGAAATGCGTCGGTTTAGCAACGTGCAGCTCATCTGTCGGGCGACTGAAGACTTTACGCCTGGAGTAGATTCGCCTCTCACATAATAAAAACACCCCTTGACGTTCTAATTGCACTCATGTATTCGGCCGTTTGTTTGTAAGTTTGTGTGCACATCAGACGCCGAGCAGCGGCTGAGCCGTGCAGACAGTCACATCCCGCGGCAGTGATATTACAGTTTTTTTCTAAGGGAGTCTGGTGCTCTGAAGCAATACCACGTTCCACCACCAGGCACCGCCAGAATCATCAGGAAATGAAAGTTCCCCGCAACAACTTTCGAGTGACTTTCAAAGGAAAATCAATTAGGACGCATTTAAATTGAGTTTTGTGAAACTGTCTGGAGTGGAGTGTAATCTCTCAAAGTGTTTCTGTGAATAGACCACAGAATTTAGTCGTAGGTTTACAGGATTACAGCAGCAAAGGGGTTAAAGTGCACACAGTAAAACCGTTATAAAGAGTAATACAATAAAACAAGACTACGGTAGATGAAATGAAATATTAAATACAGATATTATGAATGTGTTTCGTTAGGCTGGTGTCCTCTGTCCATGCATGTTTGGCTACTGCAGCCGGAGTCGCAGTTGTCACCGCCTGCAAGGATGTCATGACCGACAGGTAGGAGAATCACAGGTGGATCGAATTAGCATAATTATGAATATTAATTCTGCTTGAACGCCCGCCTCCCCTCGCAGCCACTGGCTGGTTAACGGCTTCGCCTCGTTCGGCGCTCCCTACATGGCCCACGACATCTACGCCATGTACCTGAGCCACTACTACACTCAGAAGGTCAAAGGTCACTCCGCTGCACTGGGTGGCCACTCTCTTCGGATGGCGAGGGCCTTCTTCGCCAAGGACCGGATGCTGGTGATCCACCACCTGGTGCTGCTGCTCTTCTTCCTGCCCGTCACTCTGGTAAAGCGTGGGGAGGAGTTGGCGTGCGAGGGGTTGATAGGAACCCGCGCAGTGACGCCGCGTCTGCTGTTTTTTTTTAGTTTTTCCGACGGGGGCTGGGCGACTTCTTCATCGGCTGCTTCTTCATCGCAGAGTTCAGCACGCCTTTCGTGTCCATGGGAAAGATCCTGATCCAGGTGAACTACGTTATATATTTTATATATATATTTAAATGTGTATCATCATCATCCTCATCCCCTCAGCTGGGCCTCGATGACACCCGTCTGCACCGAGTCAACGGCGTTGTGGTCCTCCTGAGCTTCTTCGTCTGTCGCATCCTCGTCTTCCCCTTCATGTACTGGTCCTACGGCCGGCAGTTTGGGATCCCGCTCCACAGGGTGCCCTTCCACCTGCCGCCGCACTGCAACGTGGGTAACCTGGCCGTCCTGGCCCCCCAGGTGTACTGGCTCCTCCTGCTGCTGAAGAAAGCCTACCGGCTGTACCGGAGAGGGAGGGGCAGGCCGAAGACGAGCTAAGTACTGGAGCCTCGTTCATGTTTAATAAAGTTTCAGATTTCATAAATGACAATCTTGTAATATTTTATTTTATAGTCAAACTTTTTACAGCCACGACTAAGTATTCATTTTTATTTTCTTTCTTTCTTCGATTAACTTTATTTTCAGATTAATTCGACTGGCTCTTCATTTTCTTAGTCGCTGCGTTGTGCTCTACATCATGTGAATGTTATGTTTTCTAAATGAGAGAATGCTTCTTGTACAATAAAATGATCATCTTTACTTGTCGGTTGTATTCCATTATTTATAGTGACTGTGTAGGACGTTTTTTCTGTACTTGTGCAGGTCACACACTATAAATTGCTACAGGTCAAGAAACTCACAGCTGGCTTAGTTTCCAAACACAAATGAAACAGAAATAAAAAATATTCGGTGACATTTCTGCTTTTTATTCACTCAAATCCCAAACCGGTCTCCTCCTACATGAGGGTCACGGTTCGGCCCTTTCGCTCCTCTCTTCACGCCGACACGAGCTGAGCGATCTTCTGCTGCAGGACGGCCTTCATCTGCGGGTCCTGCAGGTTGTCCGTGATGGTGGAGAAGAAGTGGCGCGTGTTGTCGCTCTCCAGCGGGCTGCTGCTGAGCGGGAAGGCGGCCATGACGGCCTCGTAGTGGCTGAGGACCTCCAGGCTGGACAGGAACAAGGGCTCGCTCTGGCCTCCGGGCATCATCACCTGGCGGGGGTTAAGGAATAACAATGTATATTGAACTTTAAAAAAGGGGGAGATTATTTTTTTTTACAAACTATAGAAGAACTTTATTTTTTGACGTTCTTTGGTAGTTTAGTTATCAAATTCCTGCTGCTTAGAGCTACAATAGTTTCTTCATGGCAGGTGGTCCAACCAATATAAAAAAAACCTAATACATACAGTCACTAGAGATGTAAAGGTATTGATAGTGTCTTTGTGGATGTCTGTTTAATGTGAAAATGAGTCAACCAGTCAAGTCAGGTGGTGCAACTATAAAAAGAAAACTGGCAGCAGGGAAAACGCTTTTTAGTCAAGAGCATAAATTTATATTGTGACAGACAAAGCAAGAATATATATTAGAATAGAAAATATATACACATATATATGTAGTTTTCTTTAGTCACACTAAGCTTTTTTTTATGTAGGTCATCCATCTCTGGTAGAGCGTCTCCTGCTTTATAGTCGGTTTGATTCTAAATGGACCATAATTTACTAAATGAACATCGTGCTGCATTAAAGAAAAATAAACTAGAGATTGGGATCATTAACTCATGTTTACAATGTTTACTGAGGGAATAAATCACAAGAAGTCATTTCCTCATTAGATTCTGTGGGACCAGAGGAGTCGCCCCCTGCTGGTCACTACAGAGAATGCAGCTTTGGAGCTTCACTTTTCAGAACTGGAGGTCGGCGTTAACAACTTGCCTGGATGTGCTGAACGTGACAGAAGAGCTGGCTGAGCACAAACAGGACCTCTTGGCACGGAACCGTCTCCACCTCCTCCTTTGACTTCAGAGGAGAGCCCCCCGTTTCCTGAAGGTCTTCAGACAGTTTCCTCGCTGTGATTGAAGTGCAGGAAGGCTCTGGTGCCTTGGGAGACGTTGCTGAAGGAAGAGTCAGCTTGGCTCTCACCGAGCTCATCATCCCCCTCACGGCGTGGGCGTACAACCTGCCGACGTGGGCCCAGCCCTCCGCCGGCAGCCAGCCGGAGCAGCTGGACCCGCAGAGCAGCTGGAAGGCGCGGAGCAGGAGGACGGACAGGCGGAGCTCGCAGGAGAAGCTCCTCAGATCCAGCAGGGGCAGGTACTCCACGTACTCCAGGGAGAAGGGCACGTGGAGGCGGCCCGAGGCGATCAGCTCCCTCAGGACCCCCAGCAGTCGGGTCCACTGGGAGACGGAGCACCAGGGCAGCGTCTGGGTCAGAGCCACCAACAGGCCTTTGCTGAACATGCCAACGTGGTCGGGCCGCCGCTGGTCCAGCGAGAGGCCGGACAGCATGGTGGCCCGCAGGTGATCGGACGCAGAGCAGCACTCCATCCAGGCCAGCAGACCCGTTCCTTGTCCATACTGAGGCAGGTCTGAGCCCACCCAGTCCTGCAGAGAGGGGGGCGAGATGAACAGCGATGAGGAATGGTAGTTGTTTCTGTATTGAACAAGACTCGACACTAGAGATTGAGACCATGAATTAATGTTTACTGATTATTGAATAAATCAAGAGAGAAGTAGACTCTTGTCGCCCCCTGCTGGTCACTACAGAGAATTTTCTCATAGACGTCTATGGGAGCAGAGGAGTCGCCCCCCTGTGGCCAATAGAGACAATGCAGCTTAAAGACACTTCTGCATCACTTCCACTTGTCAGAAACTGAGGTGGAGGGTGGTGCTTCTGTCACATCTGCGGTCACTCAGCAACCAAAACCTGCACGCTGCGATGAAGACGTATTTATTTGACCAAACCAAATAAAGAAACAAGGTTGTCAGAACCGGAAATTCAAACTTCCCTTCGATGACACGGCGATGTCTTAAAACCGTCTCCCTGCAGCTGAAGAGACAAATCCAGAAGAGGTCCTACCTGCTCCGGTAGATCACACACCGCCAGCAGGGACGAGGGAACCTCGTTTTTGAAGTGCTCCCCCCACACGGCCTTCAGGTGGAACCGCACGGTCCAGTCCAGCTCTGCCGTTTTGTTGTAGAGCCAGAACAGAGCTCTGGACCAGCGGCTCGGCGCCGCCGCCACCTCCGCGCCCACCACCCGCCCCAGCGTGGTCAGCACCGACACCAGCAGCTCCTTGGCGTCCATGGACCAGCGGGGGACGGCGCCCTCCGGCGGCTGCTCCCAGCACCTGGCAGGGGGATTTAGGACGGATACCCGTTGAGACGACACGACTCCGTGGATCCGTGCGGTTCTGCATCCACGGGCCACGCTTACAAACCTGAGAGTCTGGTTCTGCAGCTGAGCCAGAACGTAGAGGAGGGGAAAGGGAGAGCAGTCCAACGCCCAGTGGGGACGCGAGGACGCATCCGGGACGTCCACGGACAGGGCGGTCTGGAGGAGGCGCAGACACAGTTCTACGTCCAAGGAGCTGTGACCTGAAGACACGAAGAAGAACGTTGGGGTTCGTTTGAACCGGTATGCCGCCCAGCCCCAGGTGGACGTATACTCTATTAGACACCAGTCAATCAGCGTGTAGCCCCGCCCTAAAGCATCCCCTGCTTCGTGGTCTGACTCTACATGGACCATCATTAAATAAATGAACATCAGGCTGTATTGAAAACTAGAGACTGAGACCATAAACTCATGTTTACAATGTTTACTGAGGGAATAAATCAAGAGAGAAGTAGAGTCATTTCCTCATAGACGTCTATGGGAGCAGAGGAGTCGCCCCCTGCTGGTCACTACAGAGAAGTAGAGTCATTTCCTCATAGACGTCTATGGGAGCAGAGGAGTCGCCCCCTGCTGGTCACTACAGAGAAGTAGAGTCATTTCCTCATAGACGTCTATGGGAGCAGAGGAGTCGCCCCCTGCTGGTCACTACAGAGAAGTAGAGTCATTTCCTCATAGACGTCTATGGGAGCAGAGGAGTCGCCCCCTGCTGGTCACTACAGAGAAGTAGAGTCATTTCCTCATAGACGTCTATGGGAGCAGAGGAGTCGCCCCCTGCTGGTCACTACAGAGAAGTAGAGTCATTTCCTCATAGACGTCCATGGGAGCAGAGGAGTCGCCTGGAGCAGAATTGTTGCTATCAAATTGTAACTAATTTGCTTTAATAAACAGTAAAAAGGAAAATGTCACTCAACATGTTTTAGTTTTAAACAGGAGTATCGGAGGACACTCACCCGAAGTGGAGATGTTCGGCAGGACGAAGATGTTCGCCACCTCCTGAGGAGTCACAAAGCTCCGCCTCTCTTCTTCTTCTTCTCCTCCTCCCTCGACCGCCGTCATCAGGAGGCCCAGGTACTCCAGGAGCTGCTCCTTCTCATTGGCCGACAGCGATTTGGTCCCGATCGTTTCTCGGAGACACCTGCAGAGCAGAGCGCCGCCACCCGGACCGCCGTCGGTGCCGTCCTCTGCCTCTACGCCGCCCCGCAGCCCGTGTAGCTGCTGCAGGATTTTCGCCATCAGAGAGAAAGCGCCCTTGTTGAAAACAGCCGAATGACAACAAGCCCTCAAGGTCGCTTCCGGGTTCTGAAAAGCAACCCTGGCGACCAAAGAGACGGCTGTGTTCAGATTGCCCTGCGCTGGCATGGCTCCGCCTCCTTGGATGATGCAGTTGAAGGCCATGTTCAGCTCCTGCTCAAACCCCGCGGTCACGGCGGACGGGGCGGAGCCGCCGAAGAGCCCCCCGCCGGACCGCCTCAACGCGGCCGCCAGCGCCGCGTTCTTGTCTTTCAAAGAGAGGGCGGAGAAAATGTCCGCCGCGACCTTCATCAGCCTCCTGCACCGGCTCACGTCGGCGCCCTCGCCCCGGAGTTTGTCCTGGAGGGCGGCGGTCACCTCGAGCAGAGCGTCCAGCCGCTGGAAGGCCGCCTGGTTCCTCTCCAGGCAGTCGGTCCAGAGGACGTCACGCGCAGCCCAACTCCTCTCGCTGGCGAACAGCAGCGCGACGTCCTGGTAGCCGTCCAGGCGGTGGTCGACGATGGCCGCCGCGACCCTCGCGCTCACGTCAGGGAGGCTCTTTGCGGCGGGGAAGGCCAGAGACTCCAGCAGACCTCGCAGCGCTTTCTTCTCTCCTCCGTCCGTCTCGGGCTCCTCCTCTTTCTTTAGAGCCACCAGGACCTTCTGGACACTTTGCTCCAGCCGAAAGGCCGAGCAGCTCGGTTTGGAGCCGCCGCACGCCGCCAGGAGCCCGCCGCCGCTCCAAAACTGAGCGAGCTCCGTTACGATCGTCAGCGCTTCAGCGAGCTTCATCCCGCCGGGTTGGAAACGCGAGGGCGCGTGGGAAGCTTGTACGTCTCTCTGAGCCTCGCGGATGAGTTCTGGGCCCAGTTCCTCCCCGCTCTGCGCTCTGACGCCGACGACCTCGCACAGGACGCGCAGCTTCTCTTCGGCGGGAAGTACGGCCGCTCGGTCCGCCAGGAAGGCCGTGTGGAGAGCATCGAGGGAGATGGAGAGGGCCTGGAGGCAGAGCTCTGCTGTGGACACGTGCTCTTTTAAGTCTCTAAGTGCATGTAGGAGAACGTGAAGGACATCGGCGGTCGGTGGCGATGGCAGCAGATCGGACGCGTCCAGCTTTAGCCTCTTGGCGGCCTGAGGGGACGCGCTGGAGGACTCAGCCAAGAGACGAGCAAACTGTCCGGCGAACATCGTCTCTGCGGTGTCCTCCGCTCCGGCCTCCCGCTCGTCTCCGCCTTTCCACAGCTCCCACCACACCTCCAGGAAGAGCGCGACGTCCTCTTCGCCGGTGGGGTCGCTCCTCACGTGTCGCACTAGGCGCTCGAGCTCGGTGCAGATCTGAGAGTGAGGAAGGGACGAGAGGAAATGTGCGAATATCCGAGCGGTCGCCGTCGACTTCACCACCTCCAGCAGGACGACGCGGTTGACCTCCGGGAGCCCGTTCTGGAGGGGGAAGAAAGGGTTCTCCCTCCAGGCCGTCTCCACGTCCTCCCCGGTCTCGCCGCAAAGCACCTTCAGCCACACGGAACTGACCAATGTCTTCAACCAGACGACGGCCGATGCAGTGGGACGACCACAGAGTTCCTCCCCTCCACAGATTTCTCTGAGCGCCTCCAGGACGGGACGTCCCACCCTGCTCCAGTCGGCCTTCTGGAGGGAGGACAAGGACGAGGGGACACACAGTTTATCAGCCAGGAGGAACGCACCTTGAAGACGTGCTGTATCTGAAAGCAGAAGAGAAACGGCTTCAAAAGACAAAAATATTTTGTTGGTTCATGTACAACTTCAGGACACGTTTAACTAAACTAGTCTTTTAACGAAATAGGACGTTTAGGGTTAATCTGCAGAATGTTTTGTTTATAAAAAAAGTTTGTCAAAATCGAAGAATGTTCTGCCAGGAGTTTATTATAGTAATTATGATAAACTATTATTAATGACAGGCAACTGAAGGTTAACTATAATAAATTAATCAAAGGACTCAGTCAACAGTTTAAGCTAACATATCACATCTTCAATGAAGCATCCTTTTTTAATTCTTGTTTTGGAAAAAATAGTAAAGTAAAAACAAACACGGCCACTTCACTTCCTTCAACCAACCAAGGTTACTAGAACAAGTTGAGCCAATGTGTTTAAGGACTAACGTGACTAAAGTACAGAACTTTACCTTGGTTCATCTTCAGCGTCATGGCTGCAGAATGAAGCTAAATGCTACTTAGCTCGTTTGCTAGTTTTCAGTTCGCGTCCATTAACGGTTCCTCTCTGCGGCGTTAAACTTCCCCCCTGGTCAGTTTTAATGGTACTAAACAACAAAGCGCAAAGCGGAGCCAAGTTGAAGACATAGTTCGCTTTTCACTTCAGCAGTTTCGTATGCAGCGCTGCCGCTGTTCCGCGTCACGTGTCTTAAAGAGCAAGAAGGACCCGCTGTGACGTCACAGCGCCTGGACCGCAGATGTGCCGGAGTAAAACATTTAAAAAATAAAAATATCCTGTTAAATAATGTTCATGTGTCCATAACGCGTGTGGCTTTCTAGAGAAACAGTTAAAGACGTGTTTTTATGTTCGAGTCCTTACATTTAGATGTAACATGCCACACTGGTGTACACTAAATATACTTTAGTATAATTTAACAACATCTGTAACACAAACAACCAGTGTATCGTTTGTTAATATGCTAGTTTCATCATATACATACAGTATATATACATGTATACTTTCCTTGTGTCAGTAATTGCCACCAAGTGACGCAAGAGGCAAGCGAAGCAGGTTTTTTTTACTGAGAAGTGAAAGTGAAAGTAGGTTTTCAAACCGAACAGCTCGTTGTTTCGGTGCTCAGCGACAAACAGATCATTTCTACCAATGAATATTAATCATGAGTCCGATCTTACAGATACTCGCTTATGTATGTCTGTGTGCAGGTAAGTTATTGTCTTTCAGTTTTGTTACGGTGTGTGTTGTTTTAAAAGCTCGTGTCAGAGGAATGAACTATACTAATACTGTACTGTACTATACTAATACTGTACTACACTAATACTGTACTATACTACACTATTACTGTGCTAAACCACACTAGTAGTGTACTATAATACACTAATATAATACTACTGAAGCCCACAGTATCGCGTGTAAGGTGATCTTCTCTCTCTCAGGTGTGCAGAGCGTCCACCAGGTGTCATGGCTGCCCTGCCTCTTCACCGACGAGCACGTCTTCCTTGACCCCGATGGTCACATGCGGACTGAGCACGTCCCCCGGGACGCCGTGCTGCAGTTCGGCCAAACGGGAGACCCCCCCGCCAACCCACACGCCGTCACCTTCCTGGTCACCGGTACGTCGTAACGGGGGAGGAGCGGGAGGAAGGGTAGGGAGAGAGAGGGTCCTGACGGGTTCTCTTCCAGGGTCTAAGTTGGACCTGCGGCGCTTCCTGGAGGGCGCGGAGGCGGAGCAGCTGGAGTGCGAGCTGCGGCGGTACAGCACCAAGGGGGTCCACGACATCAGATGGCCGGTCCAGGGGTCGGCGGGGCAGGAGCACAACCGCTGGTTCAGCTGCACCCTCGCCCACGCCAAAGGCCTGTTCAAGGTCACGGGCTTCCTCAGACACCCGTCGGACCGCCCCCCACCGGACCACCAGGAATACCACAGTTGGCCCGCCATCGGGGACGGGGAGACTCTCGTCACGTCAGGTGAAACCAGGGAACAAACGTTATAGTATTTTCACGCAGCAGAACCGGGGCCGCTGATTGTTTAGCCGTTAGCCGTGCTGCTAACGTAGCTAGCTCCCCCGGTCATAATGTGACTTTGTGTTTGAGCACTACTGGTTGCTTGTGAGGCTTGAGAATCAAACATCATAATCCCGAGAGTTACATCGTCCTCCAAAAGCACCTCTGTCTCGCCTTGACCCGCCTCTCCGTGTCCGCAGTCGCGATGGTCATCAAAACCCGATCTCCGTCGGTGCGAGCCGCCCTGGGATCCGGGCAGAAGCTCCATTGCCACTTCTCCGCGGACCACAAAGGACCCAACGTGACCGTGGAGTGGCACCGGCGGCGCCGCGGCGAGGTCACCCGCCTCTTCAGCCACGCCGCCCGCTCGGGAGTCGCCGAGGGCAGCGGCGTGGCGCTGAGGGCCCTGGCGAGCGGGGACGCCTCTTACGACCTCCCCTTCGCCGAGGTGAAGAGCGAGGCGACCTACATCTGCTCCGTGTCGGTGCCGCCACTGCTCGGCGCTCTGGAGATTGACCTGCGCATTGAAGGTAAGGGAGGAGGGCGCTCGGCCGCCCTGACAGCGTCCACGCCTCGCGGTTCGTACGTCTATTGAGTGGCTTCACGGTCAGCTTGTAAGGACGATCCTCCGCACGACATCTGTAGCTTGAATCAAACTCATAGTAGAACCTCCCCCCTTTCTCCTCAGAGGCCCCCCGCGTCTCCCTCAACATCGGACCCGCTCTCTCGCTGCCGGAGGGCGGCGAGCAGAAGGTTTCCTGCCACGCAGAGAACTACTACCCTCTGGACGTGGAGATCGTCTGGTACGTCCAGGACGCGGCGGCGGCGGCGGCGGCATCGGGGCGGCGGGTCGGCGCCCCGCTCCCGAAGGAGCTTCAGAACGTCCTGCTGTCCAGCCACAGGCACAACCAGGACCAGACGTACTCGCTGACCTCCTTCTTCTACCTCCAGGCGTGGCCTGAGGCCTCAGGGAGGCTGTTCACCTGCAGCGTCTCCCACCCGGCCCTCAGGATGCCCGTGAAGAAGAGCTTCGTGCTGACCGTGGAGGGTGAGCGCGCCCGTCCGCAGTACCGCCAGGCTGCCACGGGGGGGAGATAGGGGGGGGTGGAGGTGCCCGAGTCCTAAACCCACGCTTGTTTCCTGTCTACAGAGCGCAGCGACTGGATGCTGAAGCTGCTCGGCGGCCTCGTGCTCGTCTCCCTGGTGGCCGTCCTGTTCCTGCTGCTGGGTCACCTGCACTCAGGCAACAACTCTTTATTACTATTGTTATGTTCTTATCATCGGACGCTGAGCTGCTGTCACGATGAGGAGAAGCTTCATTTGGGATTAGAAAGGACTTTATACATCTTAAAGCGAATAGATGAAACATAATAGAATAAGAACATAAAACAAATAAAAAACAGAATAGCAATTGTTTGGTGTGAAAGAAGTAATAAATGTCAATGGCGACCATGTTCATATTATTATTATTATTATAATTATTATATTGTGTTATGTAATATGTTATGTATATTATATTAAGTGTAAAAAAGTCATTATCATTTCTTTTCTTCACAGCAAAACGACGTTCTGTGCAGGTGAGATGAAATTATGAAAACAAAACCACGATGAATTCAAACAATGTCGATAATGCAAAACAATATTTCATCTCTACGATGTGTGTGTGTGTGTGTGTGTGTGTGTGTGTGTGTGTGTGTGTCCTGAGCAGAAGAAGCCGTACTGAGCGGCGCTGGAAGAGCAGCCAGCGGAGGAGGACTCACTCGTTTTTGTTTTAGAATGTTTCAGGCTGCGTTTGATTTCTTCTCATGCTAAAGAAATAACTTAAGTGAGTGATCGGTATCAATCTGTGTTATTGAACTGGGTAAAATATGGTTATTTGCAGAGCCGGTGTTCTGAACCACTGCTTGGATCGACTGCAAAGTGGTTTGTTTAAATTATTTTAAAATATGTAAATATCTCATTGTTTCAAATGTTATTTTCCATCAAAATGTGCTTAACAACTCACATAAATTACAATAAAACTGCAAATGTTATTGCGTAATTTCAATACCACATCACTTTACGTCTATTTTTTTTCATGTTAATAATAATTATAACTTTATTTAAAACAGATTACAATGTTCTTTGACTGACAAAGCTGCAAAAGCAAAGCCGTAAAACCACAGAAAGAAAAGTAAAATAAGCTTAACTGTCATGAACCGTAGATAAAACATTAAAGCAGTCGCTTCCACAAGAACAAGTAAGTAAGATTAAATCATAATTACATAATAACATAAGGCAGTGAAGCGATGATGTTACATTAAAGAGAGTCCGTAAAAATGTATTTTAGACTTAATCGTTTTTTTTAATGTAAAAAGCTGGAATCAAACTCTGAAAACATGAAATATAGATTCCTAATGGAGATCCTCAGACAGCTTTTAACCATTAGAAGTTACACTTACTTCGTGTTTTTTATCAAATCTCAAGCAGAAAAGAAGTAAATAAAGACACAGCAGATCAGGTGCGTTCAGGTGCTCAGGAAACGTGGCGCTCGTCCGCTGCGGCCTGCAGGCGGGGGCGGAGCTTGAGGAAGCAGAGCTTGTGGACAGCAAACAGGGATGCAAACAACACGCGACTTGAAGTAAAATCCTTTTTTTTAAAATCTGATTAGTGAGGGAGGAAAGTCTCATTTCACTCGTTCACAAGGATTCGGTGTTTACGCAGAAGGAGTCGCAGCTCAGTTCGCTTTTCATTTCAGATCTTTTAGAAACTCGATGCCGGCTGAAATAAAAACTAGTCTGCGGTCCTCCAGTTAAACTGTCCCTCATCTGACAGCATCCACTTATACTTTAGCGCATAGTATTGAAGCGTGACCTGATTTAGGATCAATGGTTGTTGTTTTAAAGTCTCAGATGTTTAATAAACGTTAAAATGTAACGAACAGGATCGTGAAGGACTTGGATCGGGATCAGGGCCAAAGAGTTTAGCAGCTTTTCTCTTGTTTTTTTGGCGCATTTCGTTTCTTCTCACAGCCGCTGTTTCACACACACACACACACACACACACACACACACACACATCTGGTCTCAGCACAGCCTTGTTTATCCCTGTAAACGGACTCAGAGCTGACTGACCAGTTGGGGTGAGACGTCCTGAAGTTCCTCTCCGTTCGGCCACGTTTACGAGCCGCGAGGTTCAGGCGCTTTTCCTCAGTGTTTCCAACGAGAGACGCAGAGACGGGAATCTGAGGAGCACAGAGCTTTTTACAAGAGGCTTTCAGCTCGATTGTTTGGGTCTGTGCTTTTTAAAAATGTTCTAAGGATTATGCTTGTTCTGAAGAGACGATTTAAGAGAATCCCCCCTTGCCCCCCATTTCTTCCTATTAAAAGATGCATTCTCTGTAGTGACCAGCAGGGGGCGACTCCTCTGCTCCCATAGACGTCTATGAGGAAATTACTCTACTTCTCTGTAGTGACCAGCAGGGAGGCGACTCCTCTGCTCCCATAGACGTCTATGAGGAAATGACTCTACTTCTCTGTAGTGACCAGCAGGGGGCGACTCCTCTGCTCCCATAGACGTCTATGAGAAAATGAATCTACTTCTCTGTAGTGACCAGCAGGGGGCGACTCCTCTGCTCCCATAGACGTCTATGAGGAAATGAATCTACTTCTCTGTAGTGACCAGCAGGGGGCGACTCCTCTGCTCCCATAGACGTCTATGAGGAAATGAATCTACTTCTCTGTAGTGACCAGCAGGGGGCGACTCCTCTGCTCCCATAGACGTCTATGAGAAAATGAGTCAGTAAACATTGTAAACATGAGTTTATGGTCTCAGTCTCTAGTTCCAAGTCTTCTCCAATACAGCATGATGTTCATGTAGCACATTCTGGTCCATGTAGAGTCAAACAGACCATAAAGCAGGGGATGCTTTAGGGCGGGGCTACTGTGATTGACAGGTTTCTCCACCTGAGACATATACGCCGTCTCTACGTCCTCCTCAGTCCACAACATGTTAAGCTCCGTAATCCACGATTGCGACCGAAAAATTGCACAACTCAAAGCTTCAAAAGGTCCACAAACCAACGGGTGACATCTCACGCTCTTCTTGTTTGCACCACCAGTCAAAAGTACGGAAACATTTTCTCATTGAATTAAATGAGAAAGTGTGTCCAAACTTTTGATAGTGCTGTGCGACATTTGCCCAATCGTAGAATACTGTGGGAATACACTTATTCTGGGAGGCAAACCAAGTAAAGAAGTTATTAGAATAGGCAGAAATCTTGGCTGAGGCCTCTTCAGTGGAAAGAAAGGTCTATATTTGTACCATTCTCCAGAGAGCCGCCTCGCTGGGACTGGTTTACAGTTACAGTGAGAAGCTCTGCTGGGAACACATCGCTCTTTCACAACCAAACAGAACCTGTCAACAACATGCCAAGGAAGATTACTCCTGAGAAACAGATGAACGCAACACGTTTCACCGGTTCTGTTTGGTTACAGTGACTTCGTCCAGCCAAAGATCTCTGGGGCGATAAGCCGGTTCATGAGGGGGGCGGGGTGGTGGGGGGGGGGTTCTGCTGTCGATACGGAGAGTCGCACGCACGCCGACCCCCGGTGTGGTAACCAGGAGGCCCGGAGGTGGTTTCATTCTTAAGGGTAACAGATAACAGAAGCATATTATTGCTTCACACGAGACAGACTCATAGGCTGTAAACGAGTGCTCGTAGTCATGGAGACGTCACATGGTTTGTTGACCGTTACCGGGGCTCGAGTTCGGCATTTTTGCCGTTGCCATCTTGGACTTTGGCAACAGAGGAAAAGGAAGTGGCTGTGTTTGGACTCAATAGGAGTGACGTAGAGACGCTGTATATACAGTGAGTCTCCAGTAGAGACCTGTCAATCAGCGTGTAGCCCCGCCCTAAAGCAATTTAGTAAATGAACATCAAGCTGTGTTGATGAAGACTTGACAGAGACTGAGACCATAAACTCATATTTACAATGTTTACTGAGGGAATAAATCAACAGAGAAGTAGAGTCATGTTCTCATAGACGTCTATGGGAGCAGAGGAGTCGCCCCCTGCTGGTCACTGCAGAGAAGTAGAGTCATTTCCTCATAGACGTCTATGGGAGCAGAGGAGTCGCCCCCTGCTGGTCACTACAGAGAAGTAGAGTCATTTCCTCATAGACGTCTATGGGAGCAGAGGAGTCGCCCCCTGCTGGTCACTACAGAGAAGTAGAGTCATTTCCTCATAGACGTCTATGAAAAAATGAATGCGGTTGCGGTTGTTGTTGTTGTGACAGGCCGTTGGCCACTAATCCGGCTCTGACGTCTGATCAAACCTCTGCAGCTCCCTGCGAACCGCCTCCGCCCAGGCTCTCCTCCTCAGTCATAAATCCATTTCTAAGAACTGCTCTTCATCTTCTTGTAAAAATAGGCTCTCGCTTCGGCCTTGGCTTGCTGCAGAAGAAACACCTCAGGGTGCTTCCCCGGGGAGCACGAGCGCGCTCAAGACTCCATGTTTGTTCACGCCGCCGCGCTGACATTCAGTTCATTCGGTGCGTGTCTCCCGCCCGCCGCAGCAAACAGTAACTCAAACTGGGTGGAAACTTCACACCGAGGGCCTCGAAGGCCTCGTCGGTGCGTGTGGTAAATTACTACACGTAGGGCTGAAAACGTGCGTTTCAGCTTGGATCTGCGCGTGGCCTCGTCTCCGCTCGTCGCATTCCTCCCCCTGACCTTGGAACAACAAGCACACGTCTGGTGAGGGTCGGCCTTCTGGGCCTTCTGGCTCTGCTGATCCCAATGCGACAGATCTGGAATAACAACCGACCGCTTTCCAGCACAAAGGGTGTCTGGAAAAGGAAAGCAGCTAATTCGCCGTCACAGAACCGGAACATGTTCAAACGCCCAGCCTGCTTCTCTTGTGAGGTCAGGTTGCGCTGAGTCTCAACAAGTGGTGAACCCCCCACCCCCCCGCCCCCCCCCATCTGAAGGGCCGGCAGCAGCATGAGGCGATGAGCTCATCAATGCAGTTTCTGGCGGCTGCTTTGGGGCTTTCAAGCACAGTTGCATAAGAGAGCGCGAGTGAAATATGATTTATGCGCCGTGCTGCAAACCGACATTTAAGTGGGCTCGTAAAAGCGATGTGTCATCGCATCGCCATGCAGAGACCAGCGGCTCACGGGGGAAGTTATAAATGTGTATACATATACATATACATTACATATTGTACATGGGTTGGTGGTGAGATGTCAAAAAACCCAAAGCAGTTCATGCGGGGACGTTTGTTTCATAATCGCTACGAGTATTTTTAACTTTTATTCCTTCATCTGTTTGTGTTTACATGGAAACAGAAGTGGGCATAACTGTAAATGATGCCCCTCTGTTACAACACGCCGGTGTAACACGGTTAGGAGGACAAACGCTGTAAGATTCTTGCAAAAAATTAGAAAACAATTAATCTGAAAGTCCAACAAATGTTTTACCGAGGTTGTAAATAGTGAAGGGGTCAGTTCAGCGCTCTGGTCTGTCGGACCTCCAGCTGTACAACCTCGACTGTGTCTCCTCCAATCATCCACATCCTTCTTCCTCTTCTCCATCGCTTATCTGAGGATACGTCCTCCATCCGCCTGCGAATGCTTCAGCTCCGACATGAAGATATCCAAAGTGTGCATTTTCCAAGACTCCCTCCCTCCAAACCCGCTTCATCTCCCTGAAACAGCCTCCCTCCGCATGTCGAACGCTATAATTTAAAAGCAGACGTCCAAGTACTGCTTTTCCCCCCGAGGCTCGTTTCATGGGTAGGTGGTCTCCCGGGTGGCGGCGCGGAGGGCGGAAGGTTTTGCGGCGGCGCGTATGCAACCGCTCCCGTAACTCCTGCTGACGCCGGGATCAGGCCGCCGGTAGTTTGTAACGAGGAGGCCAGATGTGCCCCCGTGGGACGTCACCACGTCGGAGCCCTCGAACGGGGAGAGAGAGAGCTGATGTGTGTCGCCGGCTCGAACGCACACCGAGACGCCGCAACGACAACAAAGCTCCCGACTTATTGGCTCTCAAGACCCCTGATTAAAACTCAT